CATATGATATAAAAGTAACCCTATGCCACGTGTTCCCTATTTGTTGAAAGGTACACACACGATTAAAACATATCACATAAATTCACCCTATGCCACGTGTTCCCTATTTGTTGAAAGGTACACATGATTAAAACATATGATATAAAAGTAACTCTATGCCACGTGTTCCCTATTTGTTGAAAGGTACACACGATTAAAACATATCACATAAATTCACCCTATGCCACGTGTTCCCTATTTGTTGAAAGGTACACATGATTAAAACATATGATATAAAAGTAACCCTATGCCACGTGTTCCCTATTTGTTGAAAGGTACACATGATTAAAACATATGATATAAAAGTAACCCTATGCCACATGTTCCCTATTTGTTGAAAGGTACACATACGATTAAAACATATCACATAAATTCATTTTTTGTGCCGTACATATCCTTGTTATCAAAACTTACCCATGCCATAACGTATCATACAGACGTATTTTTGATACGACGTCCTTTCTGGATATCTAAAACTAAGAATATTAATCTTTAAACATAGTAGCACTTTCTGGTTCTTCGGATCATATTTACACAACATAAATAGTTTCGATTTGCTATTTCTTAACCAATAAGAACATTTAAAATGTTTAAAAAGTAGCTACGACCTAACCCTCACATTCAATTAAAATATCCATTCGCTAAGAAGGTTTAAACTCAGATTACCAAATCAATATTAAGAAACCAAGCTAACTTAAAATAAGTTGATGGAGTGACTGATATATCATTTTTCTTCAACCATTCAAGGCTAACAAAAATAGAATTCCTTTAGACAGTTAGTCCAATAGCAAACTTAAGGGTTTTCTCCTTTTCCCTAAATCTGTTATGTAATCTCTGAACGTCTCATTCCTTCTACATTTTTTTTTACATTCACCATTTTACAAGCCGGAAGTTCGTTTTTCTCCACAGCATACAGATCAGCAATGAACTCCGCCTTTACGAAAAATTTGTGACGGTGAAAAGCGTTTAACTTAATATCGCAGTGTTTCCACAAGCAAGAGTGTTTTTTTTTTCTTCTTCTTCTTGTTATCGATCACGGCTAATATGTGTGTGCACGTGTGTAAGCGTGAACCAATTAGCATCAATTGTTTTTCAACAGAGGGCCAACTCGGTCGGGTGAATTATTATTTCTGTTCTTCGTGAAAAATTTACTTTGTTTGAAAATGGTTGAATTTCTAGACGCACGTGGATTGTTTTTGAAAGTTGTGCTACAACTTAACAGTATACTAAGTATTGTGGAAAGTAAATTTGACTATTTTATTCAATATTTATAATTTGCCACAGTATGTTTAAACATGAAATAATTTGCCACAATATGTTTAAACATGAAATATTTTGCCACAGTATGTTTAAACGTGTATCCAGCGTCATCTTAAAAATTGTATAACAGCTGAAATAAAACTGTCCATAACCAGGCAAACACAAACACACACAAACATGTGTATAAATAATGAGCTCCAAGGTCGCTCATCGGTACGTTTGAAGGCTTATAACGCTACAAATCGGGTTTCGATACCCGTGGTGGGCACAGTACAGATAGCCCTTCGTGTAACTTTGTGCTTAACAACAAACAAATAAATAAATATATATATAATGAAGCTAGATTATTTACAATATAACATGTGTTGTAACACGTATTGTGATGAAATTATAACAAATATCCAAAGATTGACTTCATGTTAAATTTGGAATTGAAGACGTTTAATTATTGATGTTTAATTATTGGTAGACAGTGGATTATCTTAGCTGGAAGTAATTAATTTAATACTACTTATACATTTCATCCGTATTTTACTGTTGGGGTAAACACAAGTTAACCCACAATACAATAAAATAACAACCAATTTAACATTTTAAGATCTTCCGATAAGACAGCCGTAAGTCGATAGCACGCGGTGGACACAGCAGATATCCAAATGTGGCTCTGTTCTGAAATAAATAAATAAACAAACATCTTTTTTAATGAACGTAACTCACAAACAGTCAACGACATGCTTTTAATACACATGTAACTTCATCCCAAAATGAATGACTTATTTTTTATACTATTCGGTAAGGTCTTCATATTACATTATAGCTTGTTTGTTTGTAATAAAGCACAAAGCTACACAATGGGCTATCTGTGCTCTGCCCACCACGGGTATCTAAACCCGGATTCTAGCGTTGTAAGTCCGGAGACATACCGCTGTACCACTGGGGGGGCTACATTATAGCGAATGTTGTTTTTTTATTTATTTGGAAACACCTGGTGTAAATAACTGACCAAACAAACTTAATAAAATCAACCACTTGTGTAAGATGCATAAAACGGGTCAGCCGGTGGGGGACAGTCTTCGGATTTACAACGCTAAAATCAGGAGTTCGATTTTCATCGGTGGATACAACAGATACCCCGCTGTGCCTTTGTATAACAAAACACACGCACACATAAAGTGTACCCAAGCGGTAATTAATGAGATTAAATAGCGTATATACTTATTGTTTTTTTTTATCCATATGTTGTTAGCGGTATTGTAACCAACAAAGTCACGAATCCACAATCAGATTGACGCATGAATAATTTAGAAACATGTCTTTAAGAGACTAGTTCTTTTCGGTAATTCTACGGTTAACCCCCCTCCCCCCCAGTGGCACAGCGGTATGTCTGCAGGCTTACAACGGTAGAAACCGGGTTTTGATACCCGTGCTTGCGAGTCGAGCGCCCTAACCATCTGGCCATGCCGGGCTCCAATTTTATTGAATAATTTACAAATCAGAATTAGGGTGATGGTTGATAACACGATATTATTTATTTATATTAACACCGATTATTTATTAATGAAAACAGCCGAGCAACAACAACAACAACAAGAAAAGGGTTGTAGGTGCAGATAGTGCTCTGAGTCTGGAACCTCGGACCCTATGATTCGCAGTGAGACATGCTAATAATTAGACCACGCCCTACAGTGATGATAAAAAAGAGAGAGATATTTATAGCGCTGTTAATTTACCATCATTTAGGAGCAGTCTTGTATTCACACAGAAACTTGAATAAGCTTAACCTTAGACATGTCGTAGGAGCAACCATTTTTGTTAAAAAAAACAACAGACAGCTCCAACCAAGTAGTGCCAGCCTTAAATGAAAGGCAGTCAAGCCACTACTTGGAGTCTCAGTTTATACTTTTATAACGTAGTTGTTTTCTTCTTTAAAATAATATTAGGCATATAATTTCATTTTGAACTTTGAAAAACGTCTTTGCACTCCTCCCCCCTTTTCCGTTACCACCCAGTTTATAAGCGAACTATATGATCAGATTGTCCTGCTACTTGGAGTCTCGTGCTTTCTAGAACCTACGCTGACACTGAGTTGTTTTATATGTACAAACCATCTTTGTTCAGCCTAGACACACCTATAGAACGTAGTTAGTTAGCTCTGGATGCGGTATGTGAGTGAAATCATATGTCATATTGAAGAGGTGATTGTCAAACTGTGTGAAACCAGCATTTACACACAAGATAGAGATAACCCGTTTGAGACAAAAAAAACAACAACTCATTATTTAAAAACGTCGAGTTCTTAATTTCCAGTCGCATCCGCTACATTTATCAACTTATAATATGCCTTCCTAGCTCGTGAGCCTTATTGCATGCGCTAGGCTCTTGTGCACGTGAACTTTTAATGGTTAAATTTAAGGTCCTACTTGAAGTACCGTTACTCTAAAGAATGTAGCGCGAGCTAAGTAGCTTGTTAGTTATATCAGCAGACGTTCACGTGCTGACTGGAATACAGGTACAACGAACAACATATTTTGGACTGGTATTGTTCGTTCTTATTTAGTGTATTTATACAAATAAAACATAGTATTGGATGTTATTGAACAACACAGTATTTTATAATCATTCACTTATTTATAATTTACGTGCGATACTTCGGGGTTTCGTAAAGTCTCCAGTTCTGTATTAGGTATTACTGCACTGAGTTCACTTACTCAGCCTTACGATAGCGTAATGCCAGAATGATAACACTTTGAATATTTAGGGTCTTGCTCAATCGTACTGCATGTTCGCTCTTTCAGCAGTGGGGATGTTATATTATAATGTGATGGTCAGTTCTACTTTACGTTCGTTAAAGAGTAGCCCAAGCGTTGGCAGTGGTAGTGTTGACCAGTTGCCTTCCCTCTAGTCTCTTACTGCTAAATTAGCTTTGAGCGAAATTAATCAAACTAACAGCCAAACAAAGATAAAAAAACAAGACAGAAAGCAGCGGTTGTGGTGTTGTCTGTACCACACCAGGACACAAAAACTTAGATGTTTTTGTTACATAGTTCTATGACAAGCAAAACAGAGAAATACAGGTAAACCTCTTTACTTCTTGTTTATATTATTTTTCGGTCATTTATTTACAGACTCAAACTTATACTGCTAGCACAAGCATAACAAACAACTGTTTGATGATTCTCACTGTCGATTTTAAAATAACGTTTGAAATTAACGTCTCTACGTCGTTTTTACTTTTCACAGGAGTACAACAAAAGTATGTAATGTTTCATCTTTTAAAATGACAAATAAGTGTCTCTCTGATACCCCCTCTCCCCTTTCGTTTAAGGGTGGACTGTGTATACGATGTGATTCTTTTATAACCTACACAGTCTGAAATTAATTTCTCGTGACTCTTAACTTAACAAGTGTGGGTGGGGGCAGTACTGGTTAGAAACTCGAAACTTTCTTGGAAGGAGACATGTCCTCTTTGACAACTTTCACCTACCCATGGGGGTGGACAATACTGGCTAAAAAACAAAAAAAATCCACTAATAAGGAAGAATTATTCACTCTAAGTGAAGTTACTTGTATAATTAGAGACTGCCTGTAATACTTTCGAATCAAATTATTAATTACTAATGTTTCTATCTTCCAATGGCATTAGTTTTAAAAATAATCAGATACCGTACAGAACTGTACAGGAGAGCTCAATTGTTAACTTAAGTCACACCCTATCCTATAAAGTTCCACTGCACGCGCTCGTACTTCCCAGATTGAACTACGTGATCTTCTAGTGTATAATACCGGATTCGTTTTCGTAACTAGGGGATGAACTGTTAATTAACTGTTTTCTATAAGCGTCCAAACCTCGTTGTGAAACTCTACACTCATAAGTCTTCGCTTCTTAAGATAAAGTTTTTTAAAATGACACCATGACAGGAAAAAAGAAGAAGAAGAAAAAACAGTTGTAAATTTTGTGAGTGCCTCTGACTCAACACCAGCACGTGCTAGATACAAGGAAACGCGAGACATCTGTTTGGCAGAATACCAAATAACAACAAACAACGCGAGAATGGTTATTTCGTATTTTCGGAATGTAATATGACGGATAGGCTGTATTTATTATTTGTATGTTATACTCCGCTGGAATTGGAAACTACTTCTATCCACAACGAAGGATTACAAATTCATTATATACAAATCCCTGATGTAATTTATAGTGTTTTTATGTTGGTTTCACCAGGAAATCGGTAGAAGTACACGAAACAAACATTAGTTTTCAAGATATCTGTGGATTGGCATAGCAGATAGCCCTAGCTGTTCAGCTTTGTGCCTAATAACAAAACAAACAAACAGTTTTAGGTGTTTTTTAAGTTATTTTTTATATTATTTTAATTAAAAGTATTAATTAAAATGATTAATATATGTGTGTGTGTGTGTGTGTGTGTGTTCATTTTTATTATATATCATTTATTATTACGTTGCTTAGTATACGGATTTAAGATCAGCTTAAATCTCCTAAACTCGAAACTTTGTGATATTATTGGGATTACGACCGAAAATACCACCAATAGAGAGAGTATCCAACTAATGAATCAATGCATTTTAATCATTTTAATGTTTTTACTTTATGACTCTTTTGAACGGTATAGTAAATTAGCTCTGAGTTAATTTTTAATTCTAATAAACGTAAGTAGGCTGCTTTGATCAGAAGTTAATGGTTTAGGACTAAGTTGCGCGATTTCTTCGTTCTTTGAAGTTAAGCACAAAGCTACACAATGGGCTATCTGTGCTCTGACCACCACGGGTATCGAAACCCGGATTCGAGCGTTGTAAGTCCGCAGACATACCGTTGTGCCACTGGGGGGGGCAAGTTGCGCGAAATAAAATTCGATGTTTTTCTACT